TCAGAGTTTACTCAAAGCTGCTAACTTGGTTTAAAACTACAAACCAACTTTGTCTTAAGGAGGGTTTTATCTGGCATTAGTTGCTACAGGTGAACTAAGATACAGTTAAACACATATTTTCTTTTCCCTAATGAAGACACAACCACAAGGAGAAAGGCCAGAGAAACAAAAATATTTGTTAATCACCAATGTGCCTTCAAATGCATTAATCTGTATCTTAAAAAGCATTAATCTTGCTGAACTACTAGAACTATGAAATACATATCTGCAGAAAGTAAAAGCCAAACCAACCCTGAACAGAGACAAAAAGAATACATTTTTTAAATTATAATAAATAATCATTATTTATTTTGTTACTTCTCTCTGTTCATCCTCATATTTTCTACAGATTATCATCCTTCCCACACTGAAAATCAGCACAGCAACAATTTATTGCTAGTATCTACTAAATTACCATTTAGGTATTCCTACTGCACAAAAAAAAAAAACAGGTTGAGTTATGCTACTACTCACTACTAATGAAATTATTGGTTTACTTCACAAAAGAAATCCATTTTTATGATTTGCTCTCTCATGCTAATTTTCAAATGGCAATTTGCAGTTATTCATCATAATCTCTTCCCATATCAATTTTTTCTACTAGATGGCATGAGATGAGCTGTCTACTGTGAAGTATCAGTACAATATCCATACTAATGCTATTAAAGTTAAAAAAGCTTCTTAAGAGATTATTACAACTTAGTGCATTCATTAAGGAAAAGGATTCAAAGTGAACTTTACTCTGATTAGACTCTAGATAATCCACAGCAAAAAGAGCCATTATGAATGCCTCAACTGCAGGAAATGTTTCTATCTTATTAAACACTATGGCACTCAACCACAAAACCCAGATCCACAAAGAAGCAGAATTCATCAGCTCAGCCACTCAAGGAAGTGCCTGTATTTATCACCTTTTCCATTTTAATCTTTTACTGTTGTTGGTTTAATGATTTCATTAAAATACATAAAGAAGTGGGCATAATTGCACCATTCCTATATAGGAACTGGGTCTTCAGTTCTCCAGTCCCTCCTTAGGATGCTACCCAATAGAAACATCTTATATTTGCAACTCATCTTCCAGCAGCAAGTCTGATGACCACTTCAGCAAGTGACTCCACATACATACGAACACCCATACACACACAATAGCACATATGGAATCTGGCACTGTCTTCACACAATAGCCTACAAACCAAAATCCTGCAATACTTCACATATGTGCTACGATATAGTTGCAATCTAAAGAGATTTCTCCTTTCACTGAGGCACAGCAGAAAGCAAGATCTCTCAGTTCTCACAGCACTAATTCATAGTTGAACTGAAAGAAGTTGTATACCAGGACATCGTTTTCCATGCACACAGAAAAATTGAAGTATTAACATCTGCACATCACTGTGATTGCCGTAAGGCTTATATATCTGCCAGCAAATTAAAGCATACATAAACTAGAATAATTTCATTCTGGCATGAAATGTGACATCTCCAAAACAAGAAGCTTCTTATGGCAGCAACAGTAGAACTACTGCTTTAATTATTACCCATTATTGCTCGCCTGACCCCTCTTCTCATTAGGATCATATAAGCAAGTCCTATTTAATCACTTCAAGCAAGTTCCACAAGTATGTTTACCTTGTAAAGACTGGAGAAAAGCTCTAATTTTTCTATGAAATATTTCAAAACTAAATCAGAAGTTACCCACATTTCTTGTAGAGGACAAAATAAGATTCCCAGCAATCAAAAGAAATAAAAAGCTCAGTTCATTAAAAAAAAAAAAAAAAAAAATCAATTCTGTAGTGTTCAACAGTAACAGAAAAGAGCAGCTACTGTTTTCATGTCTGAGCTCTAATTCTCACCCATGGAAATGAAAGAATTAAAAAAGGATTTAAAGATGCACCACTGCATAAATATGCAGTTACCTCTGCCTCCTGTTAAACAAGTGTCAGGTGTTTCCCCACAGTTAACAGTGAAAGTGATATTTGGATAATCAGCATGTATTGTTAACCTCAGAAATTCAAACCACGACTTCTGCAGAATTAAATCCCACGGACTGTCAGAATGTATCCAGAGCTCTGAATAGGTAAAGTTGTAATTCCAGGAGTGTATTAATATTGCAAATGAATTTGACATTCATATGTGTACTGCCTGTCACAATAGCTATTTAGAACAAAGTGTTAGAAATCCAATGAAGTCTACCAACCTCCCACTTTTAAACAACAGTAAATGATTCCCCTTTCATTTGGAAGCTTACATTGATAACATCACCAGATTAATTTTCACCACTCATCTGTATCTCAAATTTTCTGAGTTCTTTTCATTAACTACAACTCATCTGCTCTGTTACTTTTACATATACATATGCATGTCTCTTTTGACTATTTTCACAATATTTAAAATTGTTGCAAGTCCATTCTGTTTTCCTCAGTCTGCTAAACACATACACTGTTCAGCTAATCAGTAGAGCCAGAGAATCATATTTCCAAGACCTTATTTTCACATTCGGAACAGTTTCAACGATTTCAGTTCCTAGTGCCTAGTTCACTAAGCAAAATAAATAAACACATAAATAAATTATTGCTTCTAAACCGGCAAAGTATCAGAAAGGCCTCCAATAATAATTTCATGGAAATGTAGTTACCCACACTGAAATTGTGTATCTCAGGGATAATTCCACAGCAGACAGTGCCAAATGTCAGTCATTACTCATTGTACGAGAGACATCACTATCTGGCCAGTAATTCAGGGACTCATTCTACATATCTTTATCAGGCAATTTTAATTTACATAAAATTTAATCCATAAACATCATGTATATTCATTAAAGCATGTAAACACCACGAAATTGCTTGATACAAATGCCTTAATCTTAGTCAATGAGAATTCCATTTAACTTCATCAGGAGTTTGGCACGTGGGCTACAACAGCATGTCCCTGGTTAAAACAAGAGACATTTAGTAAAGCCAAAACACAAAAAGAATTTGCTTCCAGTAGCAAGATGGTGTATGGTTAGCGCTATACAGCATGCCAAGTTACCATTTTTCCTCCAAAAAAGAGTCTCGTGCTCTGGTAAAACATGGGTTTGACACTCAGTGATGCAAATGTGCCAGTGGTGATGGTTGGTGATAATGTAGTCAGCTATGTTGTCTTTAACTCTCTCTGAGTCTCTAATATAGCTAGGGCAGAATAAAATACCTAACAATTCCTTTTCTGTGTGTGAATTAACCTCAGCAAAGGGGAGGAGACCCTGCTGAGTTCATTATATTGAATACTATATTTGTCTCTGAAACTGCATTACATTAACTGAGAATAATGCAACCCTTATTTTTCATACATATAATAGCTTAATGAGCCATTAAAATGTCCAGTATTTAAAGCATACAATAAGATCTATAGTTTAAGCTTCAGAAATCATCCAAATATCTTACAAGTGCTAACAGCACTATTGAGAGGAGAAATCTAGCCTTTTTTTATTTTTTTTTTAATACCTGTTTCATTCTATTTCACCAAATGCATTTATTTACAAAGAAAGCAGGAGAAATCTGCAATACTGAATCAAGTCATCTAAGTTTGGAAAGTCAAAACAGGAACATATATGGTGAATAATACCCTGCTTCTCAGGTCTCAGGAAATTCAACTCATTTTCTCTTACACTTTCTCTAGTTCATTAATCAGAAACGTCTTCCTTTCTCACTGATCAGATTCCATAAGGATTCTATCCCCTTGGAAGCCACAGTATCCATCCACAAAGGGGCCATGTGCTTTCGCAATGACCTCCAGAGCTCCCAAAGTTTCATACAGAACTGCGTTTAGACCTCACGAGAACTCCCCGGTACTCATGGAGCCTGTGAGTGTAGACAAGGGAGCCACTGGTTCAGCCTCTCCACTTTTGTCTGCAAATCCCAAAACATGCAAATGTGTGTCTGAAAGCTTACTACAACATAAGCTTACAACTGTTGCCAAACATTAAATCTCAAAGTGAAGCCCTTGTCCTGGTTCCAGCTGGGATAGTTAATATTCTTCCTAGTAGCTGGTGCAGTGCTGTGTTTTGACTTTTAATCTGAAAACAACACTGATAACACCAATGTTTTCAGTTGTTGCTCAATAGCACTTACCCTGATCAAGGACTTCTCAGTCTCATGCTCTGCCAGTGAGGGCCATAAGAAGCCGACAGGACACTTGACCCACACAGTCCAAATGGGTATTCCATACCACAGCATGTCATGCCTAGTATATAAACTGGGGGCAGTTACCCAGAAGGGCTAGGGCACTGCTTGGGTTAGGCTGGGTACTGCTCAGCAGGTGGTGGTGAGTGATTGTACCGTGCATCGCTTGTAGGTTTGGCGCTTTTTGTTTTACTGCCGTCATTTCCCTTCTCAGTATTAGTGTTAATATTATATTGTACCTTATTTCAATTACTAAACAGTTCTTCTCAACACACAGGTTTTATCTGTTCTTCCTATTCTCCACCCCATCCCATTGGCAGCAGGGAGGAGCAAGCAAGCGGCTGCGTGGTACTTAGCTCTGGCTGGGGTTAAACCACGGCAGCCCTTCCTATCACACATACACAACACACCCATGTTTGGGCTCTTAGTCTCTTATTCTCAGGAGGCAGCAACCACAGGAGGAAAGCTCTCAAATCACCAGTGGCCAGCCAGAACACGGGCTGGATGTTCCAGAACATTCCCGTCAAGGAACAGAGTGCCCCGAGCCGCTCACATCGCTCGTTTATTCAGCTCGCAGTTAAGTGGGTTGCCCTGCAGCAGGCCTCCTGCACCCCCACAAGCCCTTACCGCGCACCTGCACCCCCACAAGCCCTTACGCGCAAACACCCCACACCGCACCCGACTCCCCACCGTCCTCCCACCTCCGAGCTGCGCAACCCCGCCCACCAGCGGAAGTGACGTCAGCGGCGCGGAGAATAGGTGGCCGTGCTGATTGGCTGTTGTGCGACAAGGGGCGGGTCGCGTCGCTGCCGTTGGTGCGCGGATTGAAGATGGCGGTGGCGGGTGAGAGCTCGGTCCTGTCAGCTGAGGTGAAGGCGGTGGCCGCGGGCTGGATGCTGGAGTTCTCCTGCTGCTGCCTGTGCCGGCACTTCGGGGGCGGGTGCCCCGCAGAGTTCCAGCGGTGGAGCGACGTGGCGCATGGTGAGGGGCGCATCTGTTGCGGTTCTGAGGAAGTGGGAGCCCGCGGCTCTGGAAGCACTGTGTCCCTGCGGAGTGTGAGGAGTAGCTGTTTTTATCACAGTAAAGAGTGTCCTAAAGCACTAATAGTGCTTCTGCACTTAGTATTTCGTGTAAGCACGTTTTATACGTGCGTATAGCCTTCTAATGACTGTGGTCGCTAGAAGGTTTTCAGCTCTTTTGAGGACTTAAGAAGATTCTTACAGTACAGGGTTGTCTCTTGAGGCTGTCTGCTGGCATCAGCAACGTTTGCACATGGTGGTAATGAAACAGTGGAGGCTGATTTTTTTGTTCACTTACTTAATCCACTGGTGTTTGAGTTTAGTGTGCGGTATGGCCGCTGTGCTGGAGTGGTGTAAACTAATCGCAGGTTTGGGGAATTTTAATGTTTTGGTCGAATGTTTCCAGGGAGGGAAACAAGTTGAACTATTCCAGTGACCTGTGGTTACTGAGCTGCTGGGTTGAGGGCTTTTAGATGATGAGGTGAATGCAGGCATTGGTGTTAATCTGTCATCTCAGTTCTGTGAAGCTTAAATGTATAATGCAGTTACCTATGTACTGTCAGTGCTGATTTAAGCTGAGGCCTCATATGCTGAGAGTTCAAAACTACAGAAAAGTTAAAGAGGGTTTGATGAAGAGATGTAAATGTGCTAAAAAACAGGGTGGAATTGCTTAAATACAGAGAGTTCCCTGAGTTTGTATTCAGGCTTACGGTACAAAACCTAGAAAAAGGTATTTCAGTTAACCCTTGTCTAGCAGATAAAGGTGGAATAAAGTCTAGTGATTGGATTTTGAATGAGTAAACATGCATTTTAAATGAAAAATACTTAAGAGTAGTTAACGGCTGGAAGCAAATATCCATGTCTTTTGACATTTTGTTAGAAATTTTCTTTCCTGAAGATACTAGGCTGGAGCTTTTGGGGCTTTTGGTTTGTTTTGGTTTTGCTTTTTCTGTGTCGTGCGTGTATTCTTGGTTCAGGTTAATGTGAATGTGTGACTTATTTAAACTTTTGCAAAGAATGGAATACAATAGCACGTGAGAGGTAAGAAATCTAAAAATAATATAACAAAGTACATTGAATGGGGTGCTGCTTGATTAAATGATTAATGGGGCTTTTCCATTTGGCTTTGGGATTGTGGCTCAGTGGGGAAGTTGTACTGAAATTTCACCAAGATGTAGGATGGAAGCACTCACTGTAAACACAGAAGCAGATTGGAATATTTCCTGAGAAGAACAGGAGGAGTTTTTAGGACCATATTGATGGAAATTACTAAACTGAGCAAAACACAATGTCCCATGGAGCTGGAAACTAATAATGACTTTGGAATTTGTTCCTACTTTGTTTAGCAACAGAGGAAAGTTGGGCGTACTCATGCTATAGGATTACAAAGTCATAAGTGTAAAAGTCTATGGAAAAAACTAAGCACAGGCATAAGACTGCATTATAAAAGTCAGTGTAGTTTTTTTCATAGAAATACAGAGGTACAACTGTTGCTTATGTCGCAGGGAGACCCTACTGTAATAATGTATGGCTGTCAACAAGAAGGTCAGTTCAAACAGGAGCAAGTGCAGAGAAGCAAGGTGGCTAAGGGAACAGGACAAGCTATTTTGTTAGGTAATAAACAGTATTGCCATATAGCTCAGTATACTGCCAAATAGAAATAGCTACTTACCTGGAATTAAGGATTTAAAGACAGCATGGGAAGGTCATATGCTCTGCCTATGTCATCCTGCCATGACAAGGTATTGTGGTCAATATATCTGAAAGAGCTTGTGTAGGTATCTACATGGTAAGGACCTGGATTTGTAGAGTATCTAGTGAAAGACTAAGATGAGAAATAGATTTGAGTGGCCATGGGGAGGAAAGCTTGTCATATAATTAAGGGCACTGCTAACTAAATAACAGAAACTGCCTTGGGGTGGAGAAGTAGAAGAGTCTAGAGAAGTACTAAGGCTATGTTTCTTTCTGTTTGTCTGCATTACCTGTGGGTAATTGCTGCTACGGACCTGCTGTCCACACAGTAAACCCTTCAAGGTTTCTGTTTCCCTTTGAAGTAGCTCTAAAGGACTTCAATATGTATACTAAAGATGGCTCCATTGTACAAACTGAACAGAAAGTTTGCATTTTAAGTGCAAAATTTAAATTTAAAAATGCACCCCTGCTCTGAGCTAAAGCATTAAGGTAGGTGCATCTTAAAAGAACAGAGAAAACTGAAAGATCTCAAGCTATTTGGCAGCTTTTAGCTTGTGGAATTCTTCAGCTGCAGTATTCTGCTGGCTTCCAAAATCTCCAAGCCCTGGCTCCATGTTCAGGCATTATGAGAGTGCTTGTCTCCATCATTGAACTCATCCAAACTCTTTGAAATTGAACTCTCGTCAGCTGTGGAAGATGCATGAATTTGTGATTATAATGACTGGCACTTCTGTTCTAAGCAATGTGCTTTTACTTCCTATTTTGGCTATAGGAATTAAAAGCTCTGTCATCATTGAAGCAGTTGTAAATGTGTTCTTCCAAGCCCAAATGACATTATCCTGGTAATCATTCGGGGCTGTTTTAATTACTTTGTAATTTCATGCTTATCCATTGTCCATAGGTGACTGTATGCTAATAAGCAAGCAGGCTAAGTACTGCTTTCAAGTAGAACAGTGTTATGTGCCCTAGTTGTCATTGCAAAACTTGGGGGTCCCATGCCCTGGAATCCTGGCTTTTGCTAGGTTGACACAGAAATGTGTACATAAAAGCTTCCTGAAATAGGGTGTTCAGTCTGCAACTTGGATGAGTCACTTGAGATATTATTCGCTTTTCATTTTGAGTGTTTGTGTATTATGCTGTCAAGATAAATTACTATATTCAACACAAAAAATATGAAGTTCACAGTAAGCCAGCATGATGGAAATAATCTCGTGATGGCTCCTATTCTAAAATATATAATAATGCTTGTGAGCTTCCAACCTTGCAAGGAAGATTTCCCTTGTAGGTTTACATTTCTGACTAATCTTGTAGCTTTTGCTGCTTTTGGTCTGGCAGTTGCTATGGCAACATGTAAATATTGCCCATCTGCATACGGTTCATGTTTTGTGAGCATTCCATATGAATGTTCCTGGAGCAGGCAATTGTCTTTCATAGTAAGTTACCCAGGAAAATAAAACTTCACTTATGTATGTAAAATATGGTGGTCTTCTAATTTGATGATACATGCCTGTGATGCATCTTACCACTTCTAGGCTACTGTTGTGAACTGCAAGAGAGGAAGGTTTTTCAGGTCGAATACTTTATTATGATTTAAGTTCTTCTAACATTGACAGATATTAACTAAATGCTTTCATCTGTTTCGTAACGAATTAGAAATTTAGTAGATTATTAAATCTCATAACGTAGTGCCTAGCATATTTCTAGCCACACTGTGGCAGTGCTGGAGCAAGACTGACTTAACTTTTCTTTTCTAGCTCTTATTAATGGCCTCTCGAAAATACCTGCACATCAGGAAAAAACGGTGTATCTCTGTCAGCTTTTGATAAGGATTGCAAAAGGAAAAAAACTTGGTAAATACTTTTTTTTTCCTTCACATGTGTAAATAGATTTGCATGAATTTGCACAGAGCTATATTATATATGCTAATACCTTTATCTACAGTAAAGGCTATGTTTCACATAGTCTTACTGTACATATGTTTATGTGTATCTAATAAAATGTCTGAACTCTACCTTTTGGATTATCTTTATTCCACATGTATGCAGGACCAGTGGTATTCTGTGCTGAGTGATTCCTACAAGCAGTGGGAATAAGAATATGGATGAAAAGGATGGCTTCCCTTGTTTCTTACAGAAGGCTGTTAAGGCTTATAGCTGGCTGCAGGTCCTTGGGACTCTTACTGTCATGTCTTCTGTTTGGCTGTATTTACAACTTGCTGGTTTAGCCAGACTGACTTTGCTCAAGTTTCTGGAAAACTTAACTTTTGCTGATAGTTTTTACTGCTTGATAAAGCTCATTGGAATTTAAGGTCTATAAAACCAGTCTTGCCAGCATGAGCATGGAAGAAAAAAAGTGTGACAGAAAGGATTGTTTTTATAAAATGAAATTTCTGATGTTACTTGTCAAGTAATAATACACTTCTTCATTTAGTTCAACTTGAAGTATTTTAAATATTCAAATCTGGTTCTCATCATATACAAATTATGCAACTTTGCTGATGATGCTTTAAAACTATATTGTTGTATGTAACACTTGTCAATATAAATTCAGTGTCTGGTTTTTGTCTAGCGGTGTAGAGAATGACCTGTATGGTAAGGAAGATTGCATGTGCTTAAGTGGGTATTACATCAGATGTAGTTGCACAATATACATGGAAAGCTAATACATTGTGTGGTAGCTCTCCTCATTTGTTTCCAGTTATTAAAATAATTAATCTCTATTGAGCCTTAAAGTAGAGTAGGCTGCTTCAGATGCCAGCTCTTTAAGTTAAACACTTTGGTTTTACAATATTATAATAACCTTAATATGAAGTGTCATTACTTTATTGAAACAGTAAGTAGGGAAACCAGAAGTGTGCTTTGTTATTGTTTTTTTTTTTTGTTTTTGTTGTTCTGTTAGGTTTTGTTCTTTTTTTAAATATGTATATCTATACATATGATACTATTTAAATTTTCAGTGTTTGTCTTCTACTGTAGTGGGTGTCAAATATTTTTTATATTTTCAGCATTGCTTAAACTGTTTACAAACTGTCTGAAAATTACTGTAAGAAATAATTTTGCTGTGAGAGATTCTGCTATGTCATCTAAAATTAAGGAATAAGTAAGGCTGTGGTTCAGTGAACATCTTAAACTAAGCTGGCAGTGTCACAGAAAGAAAAAAAGCAGACTTGTGCATCTGCCATCTCCTGCATCTGTTATGTTGGCATACTCACTTGTGCAAGTGGGCAGTGACCAGACTGGGAAACTGTTCCTAGAGTGTTGAGGGTTATTTGGCTGGGCTAGATTTCTGCCAAAACTGCATCCTGCTTGCTGGGAGTTTGCACAAACCTTGATGTTGGCACAGCAGCGCTATGACACAGGAGGTTGTTCTGCTTTTTCTGTGTTAAGCTGTTTGAATTTCCCTCTCACTTTAACCCCTTCTAATATAATGAAAAGTAAAAACACAGAAATATATAGACTTGAGGGAGAGGGACCACAAAAACCAAACAAACCTTAAGACAGTGGTTACATTACAAAATTACAATTACCAATACCGAGTGTTTTGATATCTGATGCCAAACTTAATGCACTGGTATTGCTAACGCCAGCCCAAATACAAGATGCTAAACTTAACACTGTTGCAAGTTTAAGTGAACAGTAAATACCAGACATGTAACCTCCCTTAAAAATGCAACAGTAATGTTACTAGCAAGGGCAGGAAGAGCCAGTCTCTCTGAAAAGGAGGCATTTAACTTGGGTCTCTTAAACACACTTGAAGAGAGAGACTAAAAAATTGAGGAAAAAAGAATTGAAGTAGTGTATAGTGTATATTACTTTATTGTGGATGAATAATATATTTAGCTTTACCCTTCAAATTTTTAAAGTACTTTTTTCTATTTCTTCTCTTCCCCTCCCAAAGAATGCTATTTTGAAAATTCTAAAAGAATTTCACCTTTGGAATCTGCTCTGTCTTTCTGGACTTTACTTGAAAGGGAAGAAGTCGAACTGGAAAAGCTTCATAAAGATATTCGTCAGTTGATTCAAATTCAGGTTTGTGTGACTTAAAATGCTTTAGGGTGGTATTCTATTAATTCTGCTAAAACAGGGCTCATTTTACAAAAAGTTTTGGCTATTAGCAGGCTGAACTAAATTTTCTAAGTTTGATGTACTTTCAGTACAGAGTAAATAGATCTGTACAGCAGACCTTTTCCTGTCTAAGTTGGTTCCTGTTTGTCCCAATTCAAAATTGTTTCAAAAGCTGCCAATCTTAAAAAAAATAAATTTAAAACCATTTGTATCTTGAGCTTTTAAATATATTATTAGTAGCTTTTTTGTTTTTTCTTTGCTTAAAAATAATTATTTGTATTGGTAAACCTTTGCTATTGAACATGTGAAAACATGTTGACAGGTACTGGGACTGAAAATCTGGGAAAGATGAAAGCAATACTTGGTAGGTAAGTATGGGACATTTTAAATCAGCGAGAGTCCTTTTAAAAGCCTGGCAAAAAGGCTTTGGGCCTTTATGAGTGAGGTTTAATGCTATTTTAGAACTTTTAAAACTAGGTAATTGTTGGTAACCCTTAAACAGATAATCTTCTGGATTTTGGAAGCCTTACTATTTAAGTGTGAATTTTCTTTTTTTTTCTTTTTGAATTTTCTTTTTTTTAATCTCTGAAATGTATTTCAGCATGTCTTGTAATTATATTTGTTGTAGATTGTAGCAGTCTATATGGAAAATGGATATTTCAAGGAGGCTGCTGAAGCTCTTGAAAGGCTGTTTACAGACTCAGAATCGGATAAGGTAATAACTTGCATTAAGCTCTTTCAATTTAAGAGGAAAAGAGAATGAGTTTCCAAAGCTAGCAAACGATACATGCAGAGCTCTGTTGTGATTGCTGCTTCTGCAGTCACCTACATACCTGTGGCACTTATGGATACAAAAAGAAATCTGTAGGTAGGGGACTGATAGAAATGATGGGTGGTGTGGGGGAGTAAAATGTTTCTAGCAGCAGTTGTTCTTCACTGTGGACAGCATCAGTCTGAACTTCATCTCCCATTTCACGTAAGGTGTCACTACGGTTTCTGTGAGTCTGATATTGCTGTTTTCTCAGAGTAAAGACAGTATAAACATGCTGATAGAGGCATAGAAATTCCCAAGTAATCAGTCTGACTTTCTCTGAACCATTACAGTGCACTCTATTTCTTCTGATTACTGTTCTACATACTAATGCATTCTGATTACTGTTCTACATACTGTTAGCATCTGTAGTATAGAGTGAATATTAGTATTCCTTTATCTGGAAAAGATAATGCGTAGGTCAGGCCACCTCCTGGTTTGATGTTGACTACATAATTCAGAAAGATACAAGTTTGAGTGTGTATCTCTAAAAGAATAGCTAGTGCACACACCTGAATTTGCTGGGGTGGAGAAAAGAGCAAAGGACTATAGGCAAAAAGAAAAGTTAAAAATGCTGCCTCTATCTTCCGCTGGTATACTGGGACACGTGTTCTATATCAATAGTTCCATATCTGTAACAAAATCTTCAGATACACTCTTCAGATATTCGGAAAGTATAGTCTGGTAGAGTACTCGTTCATAAATAAGAATGCAACCTGTACATGGAAGTTGATTGTTGGATGTATTTGTCTCTTAAGATTTAAAGTGGTTGGTAGACAAGATGTAAAGTTATGTTTATCAATATCAGGGTGTCCTTAATGCTATGGTACTAAATAGTCCTTTTCCTGAACATTGTGAACCCCTTTCAGTGGCAGTCTTTTTGAGGCAGTAAATGAGAAAAGAGAACGCAGTAATGAATGGCCTTTTCTTGGTGGTTTTGCTCCTTTGACAATCTTGCTTTTGGTGTTATACCTAAAGGGTATGAAAATAAGGATCTCTGGAAAGTTACATTTAACCACTTACTGAGTAAACTGGTATTGTGCCTAACTGACTTCAGAACCCTTTCGAAAGGTAGCATGAAGTTGGATAGGTGTATTCAGAAAACTCTATAATCATCATGTTTAGCTTTCTGTATGTCCTGTTTAGCATAGATGCCAAGTTTACTATAGGATACATTTGTGTTGTATTAAATCTGTGTTTTTCTTAGCCTTTAAGGATGAAGCTGGCAACTGTAATTAAAAGCAAGGATCCGTATGTTCCTCTTCTCCAAACCTTCAGTTACAATGTTTTGATAAGTAAAATCAAGTCTTACATTGAACTTTTCATGAAAGAAAATGAAACTAACTTCTTATTACAGGTATGTGAAATACATTTTCAAATCTTATTTCAGAAGAGGTGCCTGATAAGATTAAATAGGTTTATACTTTTGTATAGGTTGTTTAGACAATATTCAGTTACTGTATTAGAAGAAAAGGAAGTTTTTCTTTGTATTGTCTCAATTAAAAGAAAGGTTGAATGTATGTTTAGGAGAAAGTAGGAGTAAGACTCCTCTAAACTATCTTTCATGAATGTTTTTTCCACCAGTTTTGATTAGAAAAAATAGTTAAGAAAAAAATAAGTAAAATGAGGTCCATCATTACTGTGTGCTTAAGAGAAGCAGTTTTGATCTCAGGCTACTTAAAAGATAATAAACTATATATTTGATGTTTATATGAATTTTCATGCAAAAACTGAAAGTTCAAGACCTGTTAATTTGACTGAAAGATTTAGGAATGTCAGAGGAGTTAGTAGATGGAAGATTGTTATTGCTGCTTTCCTGTAAATAAAAACTCCTTACAAACAGTCTTGCTCAGAAGTGGTTTAAGATGGGCAAGAACAACATTCCTCCTTCAGCTCATCTTCAAGAGGATTGTAAAGAATTTCTCTTATGTTTACTTCCTATAAAAGAATATTGAATTACTCAATTACAAAAGTGCAGACATCTAAAGGTAATAAGAAGTGCATTTTAAATAAACAAACTTGAAGTTCCTCTAGGGTTTTCATTTTCTTACCAGAAAGAGAGATTAGAGAACTTATACTTTGAATGCATTTAATAAGGAATACCTTTTAATAGTTTCAGCTGTCAGTTTCCACATTTATTTTTCAAGGCTATTTCTTTGAGTCTGAGAGGAAGTGGAGATTTGGAGGTATCAGGAAAGGCCTGAAACTCCATATTAGCTGACCTAGGCCCTCTGTTTTGCACCCCCATTGCCTGCGCATTTGTCATGCTGTTTGCTAATGTTGCATATCTTACTTCTGAAACCTTTACATTGGACTGAGTTACTTTGTGGAGCATTCACACTTCTGCTCAGAGATTGCACAGAGCCCCTTGAGCCTGGCTGTGAATGTTTCTTGGGAGGGGGCAGATACCACCTCTCTGGGCAGCATGTTCCAGTGTTTCACCACCCTCATTGGGGGGGGGAAAAAAAACCCTTCCTTCTACCTAAATCTACTTTTTTTTTTTTTTTCAGTTTAAACCCATTACCCCTTGTCCTTTCGCAGCAGGCAGGCCCAGCTAAAAAGTTTGTCCTCGTCTTTCTTACAGGCCTGTTGCAATAAGGTATCCACAGAGCCTTCTGAACAACTCCAGCTCTCTCTGCCTGTCTCATTAGGAGAGGTGTTTCAGTTCCCTGAGCATCTTCATGATGCTCGAGCAGGTCCATGTCCTCCTTATATTGTGGGCCCCCAGATCTGTACTCCAAGTGGGGTCTTACCAAAGCAGAGCAGAGGGGGAGAATCACCTCCCTCAACCTGCTGGCTAGGCTTTTTTGAATGCTGCTCCGGATATGGTGGCCTTCTAGGCTGCAGGTGCACGTTGTAGGGTCATGTTCAGTTTTTCATCCACCTGGTGGATCTATATTGCCTACTACTGTTTAGTAGGCTGCTTTTTCTAGGTTATTGTCAAGGTTGGAATCCACAAGCCGCTGGCCATCATATTTGAGAAATCATGGCAGTCAGGTGAAGTTTCCGATGACTGGAAAAAGGGAAATATAACCCCCATTTTCAAGAAGGGGAAAATGGATGACCCGGGGGATTACAGACCAGTCAGTCTCACCTCTGTGCCTGGAAAAATCTTGGAGCAGATTCTCCTGGATGGCATGCTAAGGCACATGAAAATCAACAAGGTGCTTGGTGACAGCCAGCATGGCTTCACTAACGGGAAATCCTGCCTGACCAATTTGGTGGCCTTCTATGATGGAGCTACAGAACTGATGGACAGGGGTAGAGCAGTTGATGTCATCTACCTGGACTTGTGCAAAGCATTCGACACTGTCCCACACGACATCCTTGTCTCTAAATTAGAGAGATATCAATTTGATGGATGGACAACTCGGTGGATAAAGAACTGGCTAGATGGCTGCACACAAAGGGTTGTGGTCAATGGCTCAGTGTCCGACTGGAGACCAGTAACAAGTGGTGTCCCTCAGGGATCGGTGTTGGGACCAGTCTTGTTTAACATCTTTGTTGGTGACATGGACAGTGGGATTGAGTGCGCCCTCAGCAAATTTGCCGATGACACCAAGCTATGTGGTTAGGTTGATACCCTGGAGGGAAGGAATGCCATCCAGAGGGACCTTGACACACTTGTGAGGTGGGCTGATGGCAACCTCATGAAGTTTAACCATGCCAAGTGCAAGGTCCTACACCTGGGTCTGAGCAATCCCAGGCACAGCTACAGGTTGGGCAGAGAAGAGATTCAGAGCAGCCCTGCAGAGAAGGACTTGGGGGTGTTGGTTGATGAGAAAATGAACATGAGCAGGCAGTGTGCGCTGGCAGCCCAGAAAGCCAACCATATCCTGGGCTGCATCAAAAGGAGCATGACCAGCAGGTCGAAGGAGGTGATCCTGCCCCTCTACTCTGCTCTTGTGAGACCTCACCTGGAGTACTGTGTGCAGTTCTGGTGTCCTCAGCATAAAAAGGACATGGAACTGTTGGAACAAGTCCAGAGAAGGGCCACAAGGATGATCAGGGGACGGGAGCACCTCCCATATGAAGACAGGCTGAGAAAGTTGGGGCTGTTCAGCCTGGAGAAGAGAAGGCTGCGGGGAGACCTCATAGCGGCCTTCCAGTATCTGAAGGGGGTCTATAGGGATGCTGGAGAGGGACCCTTCATTAGGGACTGTACTAACAGGACAAGGGGTAATGGGTTAAAACTTAAACAGGGGAAGTTTAGATTGGATATAAGAAGGAAATTCTTTCCTGTTAGGGTGGTGAGGCACTGGAATAGGTTTCCCAGGGAGGTTGTGAGTGCTCCATCCCTGGCAGTGTTCAAGACCAGGTTGGACTAGGCCTTGGGCAATATGATTTAGCGTAAGGTGTCCCTGCCCATGGCAGAGGGGTTGGAACTAGATGATCTTAAGGTCCTTTCCAAACCTAACGATTCTATGATTCTAAGTTTGCAACTCCCACTGTTGATGAAGCTATTGCACTTCAGAAAGCTCTTGTAGGTTAGCTGCCCCAAGAACAGCCTGCATGTAATGCCTTATGTCCTAGGTTTAGCAGTAGCAGTCAATTTTTCTCCTCCTTGGTAGCTGGTGCAGTGCTGTGTTTTGACTTTCAGCGTGGGAACAGTGCTGATAATACCCATGTTTTCAGTTGTTGCTAAGTAATGTTTACCCTGACCAAGGACTTTGAGAGGCTCATGCTCTGCCAGGGAGGAGGGGAAGCCAGGAGGAAGCCGAGACAGGACGCCTGACCCAAGCTAGCCAAAGAGGTATTCCATACCACAGCACACCATGCCCAGGGGGGTAACTGGGAGTTACCTGGAAGGACACCGGGTCTTCTGGGTTGGACTCGTTTTTCGGTGGGTGGTATTGTATTCTCTTCCCTTGTTATTTTCTCTTACCATTGTTGTCATTGGTGGTAGCGGTGGTGATTTGTGTTGTACGTTGTCTGTTGGACTGTTCTTGTCTCAACCCATGGGAGTTGCATTCTTTCAATTCTCTTCCCCATCCCTCCAGGAGCAGGGAAGGGGAGGGCCCCTTTGGGGGGGGGGGGGGGGGGGTGGGGGTGTGGGATGCAGGCCTCCGATTGTTTCCAGTACCACTCATTGGGAGTGAGTGAACAAACTGTCTGGCTAGGTTAAAACCACGACAGTTCCTTTTGGATGTTGGTGGAGACATTGCTGTTATCTTGTCGATCACATCTGTGGGGATCTGTCTTCGTCCATCTTGCCATTTTATTCCCAAAAATTGAATCTCCTGTGCAGGTCCCTTGACCTTACTCCGTTTTATGGCAAAACCGGCTTTCAGCAGGATTTGAATTATTTTCCTCCCTTTCTCAAAGACTTCTTCTGCTGTGTCGCCCCACACAATAATGTCATCAATGTATTGCAGGTGTTCTGGAGCTTGCCCCTGTTCCAGTGCAGTCTGGATCAGTCCATGGCAAATGGTAGGGCTGTGTTTCTACCCTGGGGCAGTCAGTTCCAAGTGAACTGGACACCCCTCCAAGTAAAAGCAAACTGTGGCCTACACTCTGCTGCAAAAGGAATGGAGAAAAATGCATTGGCAGTATCATTCGTGGCATACCACTTGGCTGCCTTTGACTCTAGTTCATACTGAAGTTCTAGCATGTCTGGTACGGCAGCACTCAATGGTGGTGTGACTTCATTCAGGCCACGATAGTCTACTGTTAGTCTCCACTCTCCATTAGACTTTCTCACTGGCTATATGGGGCTATTAGAGGACGAGCAGGTCCTGCTGATCACTCCCTGACTCTCCAGTCTACGGATCAGCTGATGGATGGGAATCGGGGAGTCTCGGTTGGTGTGATATTGCCGCCGGTGCATTGTTGTGGTCACAATTGGCACTTGTTGTTCTTCAACTTTCAGCAGCCTCACAACAGAAGGATCCTCTGAGAGACCAGGCAAGGTGGACAGCTGCTCAGTTTCCTCAGTCTCCAAAGCAGCAATACCAAAAGCCCATCGGTACCCTTTTGGGTCTTTGAAGTACCCTCTCTTCAGGTAGTCTGTGCCGAGGATGCATGGAGCCTCTGGACCAGTCACAATAGGGTGCTTTGGCCATTCCCTCCCAGTCAGGATGATTTCAGCCTCCACTACAGCCAACTCATGGGATCCGCCTGTCACTCCAGGAACATAGATGGGTTCCACCCCTTGACAGCTTGATGGCATCAGGGTACACTGTGCACCGGTATCTACTAGAGCGTTATACTTCTGTGGGACTGATGTGCCAGGCCATCTCATCCACACAGTCCAGGAAATCCAATTGTCCCCTACCTCCACCTGGCTGGAGGCAGGGCCCCTCTAATGGTCATCACAGAATTGGACACTTAAGTCGTGTTGAAAGGGATTATTCTTCGTTATCACAGGAGCTGGAGTAAAATCAGCTCTTCCACTCCATCTGGGAAACTGCTCACCAGAGACTGAAGCCGTAGCTCTCATGGGATGATCAGTCTTGGCCCTTGCTCCCCTCTTCAGTTCACTCACCCATTCCTCCAAAGCTGAAGTAGGTTTTCCATCCCACTTTGTCATGTCTTCTCCCGCAGGTAAAACTATAGGGTAGCCTGTGGCATATACCTCCTGTATCTCCTCTCTCGAACAATAGGACGCCTTTTGTTAATAGCTGAGATGTGTGTTGGTACACGTGAGGTACTGGATAAATCAGATAGATCGTCCCTCAATTGTTTGAGGTCCTGGGACAGTTTTTCCACAGCTGAGATGATGGAAGGGGTGAGATTGTCTTCGAACTCTTGGAGTTTATGAACCATTTCATCCACTGTTAGTGGTACTATGTCATTCCAGGTTACTGTTGCCAATGAATGGGCATATGATGATTGTGCATTCCGTGTAAGTTTTCGCCACATGGGTCGTGTACGTTCAACTTCATCTGGATCTATGGGCATATCCCCGTTATTCAGCTTGATGTGATAGATCATCTCTACGATGGCTGATTCCCTCAGAGACTGGATGCCTTTGTCTATAGTAGTCCACTTGGCCGAACGACTCATAACATCGTCCTTTTATGGAAACCTGTCTTTCACAGCTGCCAAGAGCCGCCTCCAAAGACTGAGGGACTTTTTCTCTCTTGCAATTGCTTTGTCAATTCCCTCTTCTCTAGCTGCTTGGCTTCTGTACCTTCTAGTTCGTGACCATCGGCCCCATTGTCCCAGCATCGGAGTAACCAGGTGATGATGTGCTCCCCTGGTTGACGGGTAAAATCTTTTCGCATATTCCATAGCTCGGTTGAGGTCCGAGGTCGAGAAGTCACGTCGTCTTCTTCTTTGTCATCATGTGATGATGACTCCTGATCAGATGCTAGACCGGGTGGTGAATACATTATTTCTTCATCTCGCTTCACCCTTCTTGCCTCTTTTTCGCTTTTTCTCTTGCGTACAGGGGCAACCAATATTAGTACGAATTGGTCCTCTAGTTTGGCTGCAGTGATTATCATGTGGTTTGAGTAGCGACTGTACTTGTCGCTGGGGGTGATTTAGCTGCTGTGCTTGGAGCTGGGGTAGCTGTGCTGTGTGTTGCAGTCGAAGTTTGAGCAGCTGCTGTACTTGCCACTGGGGTAGCTGCGCCGTTCATTGCAGCCAAAGTTTAAGTAGCGACTGTGCTTGTCGCTGGGGGTGGTGAAACTACTGTGCCTGGAGCTGGAGTAGCTGCGCTGACTGTTGCTTTGCCCTCAGATTTGCCGACATTTTTTTCCTTTTGAAGGTGCTGGATAGTGTTGAACAAGGCCCTGTAAGCATAGGCCAAGCCCCAGCACGTTGCCATGATTTGTCCATCTCTGGTATGGCCAGAATGACCACACACCTCATTTAAGTGTTTTACTAATTCTTCTGGATTTTGCAGTTGTTCGGTGGTGAAATTCCAAAGTCCTGGAGGGGCCCACTGGCCTAGGTACTTGCCCATACTATCCCACACACCCTGCCACTCATGACTGTCCAGCCTCAGGGAAAATCTCTTGGTCCTCCTACATCATCATTTGACCCCAGACAAGACCCTAACCTGATTCTGCTTAACTCTTGAAATCAGTCGTGGGCAAAACACACTCTGTATGCGTGCCAGCATGGTGATTCCCATCACGATCAGCAAACACGTCTCAACAGCATTAAAAGGCCATTCAAAAACTTCAAAACTCTCAAATGATGCTGTAAATGGTCTGGGGGTGGGACTGGGAGGGTAAAGGAATGTTTCCTTCACAGGTTGACCCCCTGAGAAGGAGAAAAAAAGATGTGTAATTGCTAAGCACTTTTATTATATACCTCTCAAAGTATAAAGGTGGTGATGACACTGGGAACATAATGCCAGATCAGTTTCATGATCAATCATTCTATTGTATTACAAGTCATTACCATAAAGTACAGTGAGACAAGAACCTTAGCCCAAGCCCCACACTTGAAAAACACTTAATACAACAACTACGGGCTCAAAGTAAGGTACCATATAATGAAACCATGAGGTCAAGAAGAACAACTTTGAGAGCCAATAAATCAGCACTGTGACAAGTGGCTGTTAATCCAGACACATCTGTTGTTATCTCAACCCTTCTGTGCCCCACATTGGGTCCAAAAAAAAGGAACTGTCATGGTTTAAACCTAGCCAGACAGCTTGTTCACTCACTCCCACTGAATGGTGCCAGGCTGGAAGCAATTGAGGCCCAGGTCCCGCTGCATCCTCCTCCCCCCCCAGGGGCTCTCCCCTTCCCTGCTCCTGGAGGGATGGGCAGGAGAATCAAAAGAATGCAACTCCCATGGGCTGAGACAAGAACAGTCCAGCAGACAATGTACAACACAAATCATCACCACTACCACCAATGACAACAATGATAAGAGAAAATAACAAGGGAAGAGATTACAGTACCACCCACTGAAAAATGAGTCCAACCCAGAAGACCCCGTGTCCTTCCAGGTAACTCCCAGTTACCCCCCTGGGCATGGTGTGCTGTGGTATGGAATACCTCTTTGGCTAGCTTGGGTCAGGTGTCCTGTCTTGGCTTCCTCCTGGCTTCCCCTCCTCCCTGGCAGAGCATGAGCCCCTCAAAGTCCTTGGTCAGGATAAACATTACTTAGCAACAGCTGAAAACATGGGTATTATCAGCACTGTTCCCAGGCTGAAAGTCAAAACACAGCACTGCACCAGCTACCAAGGAGGAGAAAAACTGACTGCTACTGCTAAACCCAGGACACCTTACAAGGAAGAAAAACCTATACTAAGCACAGTTATTTTATAAGTACAATTTGAAGCCTACTCTTAACTTTTAAAGCACAATATAGTGGATTTTTATTACTACCATCAGCCACTGTAAAAGAGCCAGTGTTTTGAAAATTTACAGCTGAAAGTTGTGGAAGTTTGGATAGTTATGAAATTTCTGACAGTGAAACATTTTCTTCTGTGATTGAAAGTATTCTATAACCAGAATACCTTCTAGTACTTACATGGATGAATGAGTGAATTAGGGAAAGGTTTTGTATTATCTGACTTTTATAAATGTTGAGAGACTCTGCAAGCTACTGTGAAGGACAGGTTAAGATTTCAAGAAGACTGAAAACTGGATGAATGACAGAAAAACAACAGGAGGCAAAAGCAAGCCCTGGAAGAAGAAATAGGTGAAAACAGGAGCAACTGGCTAAGCAGAAAAAGATGTAATATTTAGCCTGTAATGGATCTGTCAACTTAGTAACATTTTGATCTGTTTTGCAACACCTAAATATCACTTGGGGTTATATAGACGGTGTTGGATAGAAGATGGTTGGCTCTGCTTAGTATTGGTTGTGCACAACCAGGTTTTATTTTATGGCTTAGGTAGTAAATATATCTTAAGATGCTAGGGAAGAAAGTTGATAGCAAAGTGGCAAAAGCAACATCATGTGGACTAATTTTAGGGGGTGGGGAAGCGATGGGTCATTTATTATAGCAAGTAACTGGGGGGGAATCTGGGGAAATGCAGGAATCTTACAATTCTCTGGGCATTCTATAAACAGTAATGACCTGTTCTCCTCTTGGGAATTGAGAAGAAATAATCTGCAATTAGAAGTTTAGGCAGGATGTAACAAAATTCTTTTGTTAACACAGGAAGGGTTATGCTTGATCCTGCCACGTGCTATAGAACTAGATGAACTTGCAAGGCCTGTCAGTTTTCAGTTTCTAATCTAGTTATATTAAACAAACTTTGGAGTACTTTGATAGTGTTTGCAGTCTTAGCAAATCTCTGCAATGTGTTTCACACATCTACATGTTCACTTGTTAAGCAAATATTCATTGTATTTCTGTGTGTCTGTATAAATATCACTTGGGGCTATGACTAAAATTTTTCTTGAGGTGTTAACTGGTAACGATCTTGTGTTTAAGGCCAGGTTGGATGGGGTTTGGGCAGTCTGGCCTACTGGGAGTTGTCCCTGCTTGTGGTAGGGGGATTGGAGCTAGATGATCTTTAAGGTCCCTTCAAACCCAAACCATTTTATGATTAACACACTGCAGTTGTTTTGAAACTGCTTATTCTAGTAGGTATATGTCTGAAAGGTCTATGAGATACATACTGTTAGTTCTAATAGAAAGCACACATACTAATTTTAGTGTAAACTACTGTCTAGGTGCTGGCTGGCTTTGATTTTAAACTTCTGATTCCATCTCTCACAGGCAGCCATAAAAGAGGTAGAGTCTCAAGGACCGGGAGCAATAACATTGCAAAGCAAAACTGTGAATGCTGATAAAAATATCAAAGAGAATTTCGAAACAAAACAAAGGTTTGTATTAAGCACTATCCTGCTAAAGGACATGATTGGACAGTAACTTGAAACTCATAGAACTAAAAGTGGGTAGAAGGAACAACATTTAATTCCAAACTGCTGTCTAATAGAAAGCTATGTGCACATTCTCTATTTTTAAGTATGGACTTTTGTATGGTTAACTTCTGGCATTTACCTCAAATAGCTTGGCATTAAGTTTAAGTACTTGTTGGGGATAGACATAGCGTAGGAATGCTTTACTTTTTTTTTTTTTCATGTTTGATTGAGCTTCTTTTAGTCCTGTCCTCCAAACTTTGGACTACAGCTCATCTGCAGAAGAAAGAGAGTAAGGAAAGGGAATCAGTCTGTTACTTTCTCCTTACAGCTAAACCCAAGTTTCTCTTAGTGAGATTCCTGTAATGATAGGAATTGGATATATTGTTTCATGATTCTGGCAACATGAACCCTCAGAACCATTACATACTTTTCCAAGAAATGTTGGAGCACTTGAAGCCCAGCTCCTTCCCCCTCCTTTGACTTCATTTTGAAAAAATACTAATATTCTGGGTTTATCAGTGCTACTTTTTTCATGGAGAATAAATTGTAGTCCTTAGTTGGGATAGAGCTTGTATTTCTGCTGTTTTATACTTGGAGTACTTGCCCTTACTTAGTTAAGGAAAATGACTGATGCAGACAGTATGCAGGAAGACAAATCGTAAGACTTTTTTTAAGAAGAACAGTTCCTGACACAATTACATCTGAGAGGTCTGATGAAAGACTTGATTTAAAAAAAAAAAAAAGCAAACAAAAAACCGAAAACAATTAAACAATCCAACCAATTCCTAGATTGTGAAGAAGGTATGAAAAAATACATGTGCAGAATGCCACAAATCTTCAACTTTAATGTGTAATGTCTTGTATATTTCTCTTCTGGATATAGGGAGGCAAGGTTAATAAGCAGTTAGTGTTTGTGTGCCACTGTTTCTGTGCAGAAATGTTGTCATTTTTTTTCATTTAGATATTTTTAAATCATGTAAATGACAAGCTGCTGCCTAGGAAATTATTTTTGGGCTTTTTCTTTTTTAAGGTTAACGAAAGAGCAGCACAGTACTACAGATCAGTCACCTGGAGATGTAAGAGACCCAGCAGTAAGGTAAAATTTTGTTGTTGTTGCTTTTGTTCAAAGACATTTCATGTTCTGAACATTTTTACTTCAGTTCTGTGTTCCTTGCAGGCCTCATTCAGGAGGGAGACTCAAAAAGAGAACTGTTCTTCAGAGTGAGTATCAGCTTATTTCTTACACTTTCAAAACAGTCATGACAAACTCTTTCTCCCCCCTTCCCACCCTGCAATAAATGGGTTGGTGGTTTGGTAACTGCTAACTGGTGTGATTAGGTTAATATAAAAATTACTGTGGTGGGAAAAGCCATTCTCAATTCTTGTGTGAGGTTTCTGCAAATGTGGATTTCATGGTTGTCACATTTAGAAGCTATGAGGTGGCTTAAGGCTCTCTGGCAACTCATTTTTGCAAAATCAGTCACTATTTTCTGGTTTGCTTGGGGCTTGGTTTGCTTGTTTGCTTTACTGGCATTTATGCCGTTCTGTGCAAAAGAGCTGCCAGAGGAAGTACTGAAACTTGTCTCTCACTTCTGGCCTAGGTAATTTGGAGAGGGGTAGGGAACTAAAGAAGCTGGCTGATGGGAAAACCAAAAACCAAATTGTTTGAAAACCAAATCAAAACAAAGTCATGATGTTCGTGCATCTTCTTGGTATAACTTTTTAAAAAGTTACAGCATGGATTATGTAACACTGTTTATAAGTAGGTTCTGAAAAACATTTGGATCCTCTTACTGCAAAGAGATGACATTGTAGCTTCTGCATGTGGCTGTGTTGTACTTGGAAGGGCAAACTCTTAAGATGCCTTGGATGCTTGGCACAGTAAGAACCTGTCACTTGTTCTGTGGAAATGATGGAACCTGAATACAAAGTATCATAGTTCTTCTGGTTAGTTTCCATTCTCGCTATGTAAAATGAGAGCAGGATGTATAGTAAAAATACTTTTACCAAAGTAACAATGTTTCATTATTATGTGCCACTTTTTACCTAATTGTTTAAAATACAATTCTTCTGTGAGCTTTTCTGCACAGAAAGTGTAGTGACTTTTTTGAGCAACCTATTTTTTGAGTCCTTGGGTAAGGTTCATGTGTATACATATATAAAAGTATATTCATGTATAAGCAGACTGAAATTTTCCCAGTCTGTCAAAGCATATGATGTATGCACATACATTGTACATTCTTGTCTCATTTAAATGGTACAATGAAAAACTGCGGCCCTAATGTTGACTCCTCATTGGTCTGGATGTATATTGTGTTCTAGGTTTGAATGGCTTGCAAAATGTGGAAAAACATGGACATGCTTTGGTTTCTGTCCGAAAAAGACAGGTTTGTATCCATTCTTTAATCTAAATAGATAAAAAATTAATCTGTGCTGCATAAAATTTTATCCCCCTCTCCCCAAACCTCATTTGACTGTCTCCAAAATGCCTGTGTTTAAGATTATCCATGTTATTCAAGCTGTGCTGCAGATCCTGAAACTGTTTTTTTTAAGTTCCAATTCCTGTCTTTAAAAAAATAAAGGCCTTTTCTTGCGCAGTCTCAAATATTATTGCTAATGCTTATGAGCCTTTAATTTGTTGAAATACAGTTACTAAAGCTTAGTCTGAGTCTTTTAAAACTTAGGAAAAAAACAAAAAATCTTTCGACTGTTTGGATTAAACAATTTAGAATGTCATTCACCCCTGAGAGTTTTGGGCAAATATCAAGGGCTTTTTGTTTTCCCACTTAGAAGGCTAAAGATTTGGCAATTTTATAATTCAATACTTTGTTCATATGAAGTGAAAACATGTATTTTCTTGGGAAGCTGATGACAAAATTCCCTATTGGTGGGAAGTACGGAAGTCTATGCCTTAATAGAAGGCAATTTGAAGTTGATTTGATGTTGGGGTGCACTGTTACAGACTGATTTTTGCATATACGAAACGTTATTCACTTCTCATGATAAAATGATAAGCACTTCTGAATGAAATTAATATTAAATGTATCCCTGTTCTTGAATTCCTCTTGATAATATCTCTTAGGAAGCAATATGGAGTCTTTCTGTTTAGATGACAGTGCAAGTTATCAACATACCTCCATCGGTTTCATTTTTCTCTTGTGTATTTTGACATTTAGTTTTTCACAGAACAGGGAAGGACAACCATTCTTACATTTTTCAGACTGTCCTTGAGGAGGGTCGTACTTATTCCTATTTCTTTGATCGTTTTTTACTGAAGTACTTGTTAAATCTTCAGTTACATGCTGTCCTCAAATTGCTTGAAGTCCTAATGAGAACTTATCTGTCCTTGGAGGTGAAGCCACCTGCTATATATAAACAGTTTTTCACTTTCTTATTGCCTTGGGTTCAGCTGTAATAGTAATTTTTCTGGTTCCTAGTAGCTGGTGCAGTGCTGTGTTTTTCGGCTTTAGTCTGAGAACAATGCTGGTAACACACTGATGGTTTTAGTTGTTGCTCAGTAGTGCTTACCCTGATCAAGGACTTTTCAGTCTCATGCTCTGCCAGTGAGAAGTGGCACAAGAGGGCAGGAGCAAGCAGAGACAGGACACCTGACCTGAACTAGCCAAAGGGATATTCCATCCCACAACAGGTCATGTCCAGTATATAAACTGGGCAGAGTCATCTGGAAGGGCAGATCACTGTTCAGGTCAGGCTGGGTATTGGTCAGGGGGTGGTGAGCAATTGTATTGTGCATCACTTGTGTTTATTGTTTTTTCCTTTCCCATTTTAGTTTTATATTCTTTCAGCCTTTCCTCATAGGAGAAATGCTGCAGTCCCCTAATCATCTTTGTAGCCTTCTGCTGGACCCTCTCCAGTAGGTCCTTGTCCGTCTTGAACTGGAGAGCTCACAGCTAGACACATTACTCCAGATGCAGCCTCACCAGGGCTGAGTAGAGGGAGAATAGCATCCCTGCTGGCAGTGCTCTTGATGCAGCTCAGGATTGGCCTTCTTGGCCACAAGGGCACATTGCTGGCTCATGGACAACATGTTGTGCACCAGAACCCCCAAGTCCTTCTCAACAGAGCTACTTTCCAGCAGGTCAGCCCCCAGCCTGTACTGGTACATAGGATTATTCCTCCCCAAGTGCTGGACTCTGCACTTTCCTTTGAATTTCAAAAGGTTCCCCTCTGCCTATCTCTCCAGCCTGTCTAGATCCTTCTGAATGGCAGCACAGCACTCTGGGGTATCAGCCACTCCTCCCAGTTTTGTTATTGTCAGCAAACCAGCTGAGGAGGCACAGTACCCCTCCATCCAAGTCATTGTTGAGTAAGCTGAGCAATACTGGACCCAGTATTGATCCTTGGGAGACACTTTTAGTTACAGGCCTCCAGCTAGACTCTGCCATTGACCACAACACTGAGACCTGCCATTCAGCCAGTTCTCGATCCACACATCTCACTAGAAAACAAAAAAGAGGTGTTGTGTGTTTAATTCTGTGGTTACATTTCAGTTAAAGCTGAACTATAAACGCTAGATTTATAGAAAGCTACTATCTGATAGTAGCAAAGAACTCATTAAAATTTATAAAAACTTGAAAGAAATTGATTCAGAACTGTTTCTTTAAACACTTAGAAAAGTAGGCATTTGCTGTCTGTGTGGTATTTCAGCCACACGCCCTGACAGTGGGACCTCATAAATATTGTATAGAAAACAATGATAATTGGTCTTTTACACAATAAATCTGCTCCTCCTCTTAATAATCTGTCTTACGTGTCTGCATGCATGAAAGAGTGTTGTGAGTGGCAGAGCTGTTGACTTCTAGAACTTCCTTTTCCATGTAGTCCCTCTTTCAATGTTGGCATTGTTTTCTGTTGTTTTGTAAATGACATTTCATTGCAGTGGTTCAGTGCCCTTTTTCACCCTTTCATTGCTGTGTTTTCAGTTAGCTGCATACAACAATCTGCAGTGCTATTGAAAGGAATGGTACTTTATTTTCTTGTTCCTAAATTAGGGGATGCAGGTGTCATAGGATTTGGGGAACTGTTTGTACTCAACTTTATATGCTGTATGTGTATGGTAAGTCCTGTGAGTTGTCTGAAATCTGACTGTTTGCTTGAAGAGTGTGTCTGACAATTTGGGTTTTCAGAATTTAATCACACTTGTATGGAAAAAAAATCCATGTATTTAAATTGGGAAGAAATAAGAAATCAGAGCAGTCCCAGAATGCACAATCAAAAGACAGGTTACTAGAGTAGAACTGACTCTAAGGAATAACAAGATTTTCAGATATGTTGGGGTATGTCTACAAGGTCTGTCTGGCAAACTTAAGCTCTGCCAGCGTTCTGAACTAGCCGAATGTCGTATTGTTCTGGACTAGGCACTGTGGTTATGTTAGCTCAAGTATAGTGCTGTATTATGTCCAGTCTCCCACCCAATCTTGGTAGCTTTTAACAGTGGAATGCAAGAGTCTACATAACAGCCACCCGAGAACGAACAGGCAGTGGCAGTGCTGGGGGGAATAAGTTACTGCTCAATGCAGTTACTCAGTGGAAAGGAAATGAGTTGTTTCCTGGTTTACCTGTTAGGCAGGTTCTTCATCTATATGTTAAAGCAGAAGAAATTTGTTTTTAAAAATATTCAATATAAACAATTTAAAACCAAAACAAGCAAAATCCAACCCTTTTAGAAGCAAATGTAACAGGTAACAAAGGTTGTGATTGTCTCTGTTGCTGGAAGTGTTTGAGTTATCTGCTGCTGTATGTCAAGTATAACTGTGTTACTTGAATAAAGATTTTTGTTTAGGAAAGTTTTCTGGCATGCTCTGAAATGAGATTAACTAGATGGTTCCAGTGGAATCTCTGGCCTTTTAATAAGAGTAAAAAACCTACCATTCACTGCTAATGTTGCAGAATATCTGTGGAACAGGAAGTATTGGGAAAAGCAAGTATTTCTGATAAAAGCTGAACTACTTTAGAAATGGGTTAGGTTTTTAACTGTTTAGAAATACAGCTGAACTACTACCACTCATGGTTCCTTCACTGCTTAGTAAGGTTTATCAGTGATCATAGTTTCTTGAAGAAGCACTGCTAGTTCCATTAAGCTGGGATAAGTCCAACTTTCAGATGTGAATTTTGATCTTCATATACCTCAGCTTACACTTTGTGTAGATGGCAAATTTTTACTTGATGCAGGATAACCAGAATACAGTTTTGATAGTGCTGAATGTTATCTAACATTTTTCCCCTTGCCTTACCCCAGGAGACCCCCCCTGCCTTTCACTTCTGAGTGCTGCTGCCATTTTTAGCGGCTTGATTTCAAGGGAAGGGAGGAGGCATGTAGAATGGCACCCAAATTGTCACCTGGCCCATCTTTGATGCCTGAATTAATGCTTTTAAGAGCCAAGTTTCTTAAGGATCCTGAGAAGAGTTCTAGGTCATTAGAATAGGAGACAGGAAAAAAAAAAGTATATATTTATCCATTTGATAGTTGGAAGTGATCTGTTACTTACAGGTGGACATCTTGTATGTACTCTGTTAAACCTCTCTCTTCATCCCCCAACCTTCAGCTTCAGGCATTTACAGCTCCTATCACTCTTCTAGTGTTCTATAGATACCTGAGGATTTATTAGCACATGTACTCTTTGGGAGCCCCTGTAAGGCTCTACAGGTTTAGTTATGAATTTATTGTTGTAGGCATATTAGCAAAGGATCGGTCCCTCATTACATAAGGATTATACACGTTCAGTCTGGGGAATACTCACAGCTCAACCAGATTCTCCTGGCTACAGAACCATTGAGGGATGTTAGCAGTGGCTGTTTCCTCTAATAACCCTGACCCAGCACCCTCCTGCCTGGCTGCTGGGATCTCACGCAGGGTCCCTTCTCAGGCTGGGAGACATCGCTGCTGCTTTCCCATTTGCAGGTTTACCTGGTAGTGGAGCTGAGCACAAATCCTAGAGGCACACTGACACTGAAGGAAGAGGGAGGGGGACACACAGAGAGGATGCTGACATGGAGTGGTCACAGTCACCCACAATGCCACCCACATGTGGTTACCCATGTAAGATGCACAGCCAGCCAAGTCACTTACTCTTCTCTGGTAGGAAGTGTAAGTTCACTGGTAAAAAAGCACACGTGCCCCTGACCATTTGTCTCTTTTCATAAATTACTATGGTCCATGAGACCATCATGAGCGGCAGGACATCTCCAGTGCAAGAAGCAGAAGTGAGCACAGATAGATTAAATGGAACAGTTACACAATACAGCTCCTGGTTTTTCATTGATGATACGCAATTCAGTTTGCCTAAGGAGGTGTACTGATTGTAAATCAGTATGATTAGTTGTGTATTAAGCAAGCAAGGATTTGAAAACATCAGAGGATCAGATTGTAGCAGAATAAGTTGTTTTAAAATCATTTCATACTAAAATTCCTTATTGCTATTCCAGAGTGGAAAAAATGACTCTGTAATTCAGTGGTTAAAAATAGGCATGATGGATATGTAGGATTTGTAAACTTTTGTTATCTAAATATATATGTGTTTCTATAAAGCTACAATAAAAGAGTTGATGCTCAGTTCTTCCTCACACTTTACTTTAACGACAAGCTTTCAAAAATCAAGTATTTGAGTATTTATTTTTTTTTTAATCAGTTTTCCTCTCACTCTGTGTGCAGTCTTAACAATTGTATTGAGATATTTATATCAAGAAGCAACTAAAGAAGAACTGGTACACTGGAAGACTTCATTGGAAGGGATTGCTTACAGATGTATAAGAGCAAGTAATTTTCTCTCTCCTGTGAGAGAAATGTCATTCCCTAAAACTTGCAGGTCATGACAGTGAGACTTAGGTGGTTGTCTCAACAAATGGCAAAAAACAAATGCATAGCTGTTAACCTGAAGATGTGGCTGATCTCACTTTCAAATGCAGTATATATCATTTTTGTTTCTATCGGCATTTTAGACACTAGGGTGTTTTTTCTAAGTACATTGAAGTTCCTTTGTTGGTAAATGGTGTCTTGATCCTTAGTCTGTAGGTTAATGTGTTACAAAATGCTTTCTCTTTTGTGATGCGTACTAGGATCAATCAAGATTTGTCTTGGCTCAACTAGGTAATAAGGTACAATTTTGGAAAGCAAGTTTTGCACAAAGCAAAACTTTGCCTGATGTTTCTTTTTCTTGTCTTTTCCTCCTCCATGTGAATGTTGAAGCATGTGATTCTCATTCCAGGTGATGTCTGCTACTGTGTTGTTACATTTGACTTGGTAACCTTTGCTTTTGTGTTTAGCATCAAGTTATAGAGCTCAAAAGAAATCAAAATGACCCTACTGACCCCTCAGACATCCGCACTGTAATAGTCTACTAATAACTAGAGAGCTGTATAAGAACTTGCTTTTATGTTTTCTATAAGCTTAGCTTTTACATTAATACATTTCTCTGTATATCTAATATTTTTCTTTGTTCTTCCCCTAGCGATGGACTTACAAAGAAGATTTGCAACTGAAATTAGGAGTAAAAGAGTTTGGAGTGGGTAACTGGGCTAAAATTTTGGTCCATGGTGACTTCAACAACCGAACTAGTGTCATGTTAAAAGACCGATGGAGAACACTGTGCAAGATCCATCAAGGCTAATTTGGACTAGAGGAGTCAACTCTTATTAACCTTTCCCTACATAAGGACCAGGACCTAGTCTGTCTTTTCAGAATACTAACTTATTTCAGTCTCAGAGTGTCCAGCAGTGTTGCTGTCCTAAAATATGGAACAGAAAAGTAATAGATATTAAACGTTCATGTAAGCTTGTTTGCTTGTGTAGTGATGACTTAAATGTGTGTAGGTAAAAGGCCATGCTTTACAATAGATGACCTAATTTCTGAAATGGGAAAATGCTTGCAGTGGTTTAAGAAAGGTCAGTTATGTACATAAAAGTATTAAATGCCTGGCAACATGTTTGGATTGATAGTCAAATGTTCTGTATTTTTAAAGTGGTGTATCTCTAGTCAGATTGAGGTTTTTAGTATTTTACTTCCTGCCAATCTGATTTGCTTCACTTTGAAATTTTGATCAGATTTGTCATTTCTCTCAGCAAGTTATACAAAAAAAATATGTATGTATTGGTATTGCTCATTTTACAAACCAGTTCCTTTTCTTGCACTCAAAAATGTGATACTCCATGTAATTTCTCATTTATAAATAGTAAAGGTGAGGGCAGGTGGGGGGTGGTTCGTTTGGGCGGGGGGATTAAGAATGAAGCTTTAAGCTCTAGGTGGAAGGTTACTTTGAACTTATGTATACTGGCTTAATACCATCTCATCTCACAGGAGAGATGGAAAACATGGAAAGTAACAGTATGATACTAGCACTTAACAGCTAACATCTCTTGATTATCTTGTGTCACCTACCTTGTCTTAAGAAGTGGCTTCTTCTAGACCAGCAGGAAAAGGAAGGCTTGAAAACAAATGGCCGAAGTGGAGCTCAATAACAAGTCTGTACTGACACTGGTAGCACAGCTCATGAGACGTGTTTCATTTGTGCTCTCCACTGTCTCTGGATGCAGTTATAGCAAACTAAGATATGCTCTCATAGAGGTAACTATCAAGGTGTCACTGTTAATAATATTCGTGAAAGACTGTAATGGATAATGGTACTAGGTTGTCTCTCTTGATTCAGATTGTGTAGAGAAGGTTCCACAACCTCAGAAAACCCATACTTTTCACTGTCATGCTGGTGTGAGTCTTTGGACTTAAACTAACATATCACAGCATTCTTTCAAAAAGGAAATCTCTTCAATTCAGAGGTTTTCTGTACCTTTATCCTTGGATAAGATTTTTTTTTTACAAGAACCTGACAAGGAAAAGCATCTGTCCATACTGGTCATAATAAACCTCCCAGATATTTTTCCTGGCTACAAGGAAGACATATATTCCTGCAGGCTGAAATGTTCAGGAAGTATTAAGAAATCTCTCTGCGTTCTGTTTTGGAGGCCTGCTTCCATTAAGATTATATACTTAGTCAAGTACAGTTACAAGGGTTTGTTTCACACTCTATTGTGGACAAGACCTCAGCCAGATCATCTTCCTCATTCTTTCCAACAGATGCTACAGTTTCTTCTTGCAGCTGGTAGAAACAGCCTAGTCTATAGGTTGCACAGAGCTGCTGCATGTCTTAACTGTACATTTTCTCAACCTTAAGTCATCATTTTTTTTTATTCCTTTTTTTAGCAAACATTATGAATTTCAGGATTTTGATGAAATACAGGCATTGTCCTTCAGCAGGGAATGCTAGAGCAGCTGTAAGCCAACAACTGAAAAAGTCTTAGCAGGTATCTGACAACTAAGAAAGTGCAGTATGCTGCCTCTTTAATGCTGTAACAATAAGTCAAGGTAAGTAATAGCAAAACATGGATTTGAGCTACCTGAGTAGCAGTCTTGCCTGTGCTTTAACATTAATGCTCTGTGCTAATCATTGTGCGTGAGCAGTTTTAACTAGTAATAAGTAATTTTTTTAATGTCAGCCAAGGCTTTAGTCACAAAGTTTTGTTTAGGTTCATCTGCCATAAAGTTCACACTATGTATTAGTGACATGAAGTTCTGAGCAAGGCTGTTTAACAACGCTGGTTTGTCGTATGTCTCCTATGAAGGTGACTGGATATGAAAGCAGCAATGTAGAGGAAGAATACTTGTAGTATAAACAACTGTCTAGATGATACTGGGAAGGAACAAAGGATCTAAACTGAAATCCTGTTTTAGCTCTCCAACATTAATTTTTATTCACCTTGCTATTTAATGATGACTGTGACTGTTCTGTCTTGAAAATGTTTGTCTGGCTCTCTACTGAGTAGGCACAATGCCTGTAGACAGGACTGTGGCCAGTAAAGAACAAGAACTTCAGGAAAAGCAGCTACTATGTTTAAAAACATTACCTCTTTAATTACAAAAGAGAAACATGGAAACATGCTTCTAGTGTTCTAATACAAAGATCAGTCTTAGTGTTTTGTGTTAAGGCAGAGAGTGTTTCCCAAAATGCTTCTTCAAAAGTTCCGATTCATTTAAAATTTGTCTAGGCTCCAGACAGTGCAGCAGAAAGATGTGGGTTTCTTGGCATTGGTTAATTTTCTTAATCTTTTTGTTGTTGCTGTTTTAAAGGTCTTTTAGACTTTCATGTAAAAATAAAGCTATGCACAAGGGGACATGAGCAGTGCTCCAGCTGCCGAATCTTCCTCCAGGTTCCTTGGCACTGAGAGTTGCCAACTGCTTCCCAGTGTAAGATTTTACCTCTGAAATGTGACAATAAGTGAGGATTAAAAAGCTGAAAAATCTGTATTTCAAGTTACTAGATTATGTTGTATAATACATCAAAGATTAGATTTGCTTAATAATATTTAGTTATCTCTTCTAGCGCTTAAAATGCTTTCTGGAGCAGACACTGTATTCCTAAGTCTAGTATACGGGATGACGGATTGCGTAGCTGGTTGTACAGGTATTAAGTATTGTGCATATTAATAAATGTATAAAGCAAATAAAAATCTGTTCTGAATATTAAATGTCTACTTTCAAAATTACTGTTCTAGAAACGAGATTTCCAGGTTTGAGAGGAGTTGTGCTCCACCACCATTAAACCTGAAATAAGATTTGGATTATGGCAGGGAAGACTGGGTTTAAGTAAAAGTGCCCATTGCTGTAAAAAGACTTCTTGCACTACAGACCTGCATCACCCTTTCACAACAGTAAATCATTCAAAGCACTGAACTCTTGAATACTGAAATTCTGACATTTTGAAGAATTGAAATCTCAAAATAATGAAATTCTTCCCCAGTTTTATCTGGGTAACAATTTATGTGAGAACTGAAAGGGTAAATCTTCTGAGCTCTACAAGTTTCAATTTTTAGGTATAATAATATAAAATGCAGCTTTTAATGACACCTTGAGAAGTCTTTGCTACAGAAAAGACAGCAGAAAAAAGACTTGTTACCCATCTGCATTATGGCCATCTCCAGAACAACGAAGTGTGTCAGCATTCATAGCTGGAGACTGGCAAGCTACACACACAGTATATCCTACTCGGAGGTACTGCATCCATCGAGCGTATGGCAGATTCTCCAAAACACAGTGCTGTGAAAGTGATTCTGTTTTGAATTCCACACAGTATCTGCTCAGAAGGAAAAGTAGCAAGTTACAATAGATAAAGCACAAGCTAGGTATACATTTTTAAATGTACTTACATAGCATATGTGTGGTATTTGAAGCGCAAGTTAGACATGGTCATTGCTAACAAATCTGTTTCTGACCCTCACCTAATCAGTGAATTCTTAAAAACATTGCAAAAAAAGAATATTTTTCATTCCATGCCCCAGTCCTGTGCTTTTTGTATGATCTCAGTTTCTGGTTGTGTTTTATATTCTCTAATAATGTTGAAAAGAGATCTCAGTAACCCATATATTTTCTTTTATGCTGCTAAAAGAAAAAGTGGAAAAGAAACTTGAATACTGATGGCTTTATTGTCCTGGGGGAAGTAGCACAGAGCAAAGCATTAAGAGCATTACAGACCCAGTAACAACCTAATTTAAATCAACATTTCTACTGGTAAACAAACAATTTTTTTTGTTCTGTGTCAATTTTAAAATGGTCTCTCATTACTGGTTAGATTCCACCCATTTCATTTGTTGAAAGAACTATATGGAATTTCTAAGACACTTATGGGTACATTCAGTTTTGGTTTAGCATTAATTACTGTTTGCTTTCAAAAGCAGCTATCCTGATTTGCCGTGACCCCAATGTCTAATCCAGGACAATTAATCAAAAGCAACATCTAGAAAGTGCAAATGAACTGCAGGAGAGGGAATCAGTGAAAGCTATAAATTACTGTTTAATTACTGTGCTTTCAGTTACATTTTTATCTGTAGCCAACTATTTTCTACTGAGCAAGATGACCCACATGAATATAATAAATAGATTACCCAGCTTCTTCTTTGTCTGATGGCCAGAGAGAAGATGCTGCTCGTCGTTTTCTTTCTTTACCATATTCAGAGGTAGTTATGAAAGCAGGGACTGAGAAAGAAAACAGTTACAGTAAGGCAGCAAGGCAACTGAGTCATGTTTCAATTACTGGAACAGTGGGTGAATGAATCAGGAGTTTGTGGATGGTGATGGTGACTGACTGTATTGAAAAAGTGGCAAAATGTTGGCAACATCAGACCTCAACCCCATTCTCTCCAGCTAAGCTCTCTCCTTATTCAAAAGAACTGTATCTAGAAACACATGCCATCTAGTTTCTGTAGAAACAGAATGTGATGGGATCCTGCAGCGAGATGTTTCCTGTTGTAACTTTGCACAGAGATCATTTGATACTTCCTGAGGGGCTTAAATCAAGAAACTGAAGGAATGCATGCAGCTTTGCTGTTTACTTAATATAAATTAAGAAAAGCCTGAGTAGGAAAAAAAATATAAGAATATAATAAAGTGCAATATGACAGTAGAAAGTAAGATTTTAAATTGTACTGTTAAGCAGTTAGATGCAGATGGATGCTTTTTTTTCTGTTCATGAGGATGGTGAGACACTGGCCCAGGTTACCCAGGGAAGCTGTGGCTGCCCCATCCCTGGCTGTGTTCAAAGGCAGGTCGGATGGGACATTGAGCAACCTGGTCTAGTGGAAGGTGTGCCCTGCTGATGGCAGGGGGTTGGAGCTAGATGATCTTTAAGGTCCATTCCAACCTAAACCGTACTGTGATTCTATGATCAGTAAATTTATGAAATCAAATAAGAATACCATGCTCATGGCCGCAGTCCTCTCCCTGGTAAGTCAGGTATTCCAGGCAGCCAGCCTTCTCCTCTAGAGCAGGACAAGGTTCCCCACCATTTCTAGGTTCCTGTTGTACATAGCGCCTACGTATCCGCAGGTCAGGTTGACATTGTGCTGCACAGCCACTCCAGTGACTCCACTCCCCCACAGCACAGGGAAGAGCTGCAAAGCAGTATTGAAGCATTACTGGTAGTCAAGTCTTCTGTTTTACCCTGATTGCTCTCAAAACAGCATATGGGTGCCTTTGCCACATGCAGATACCTGACATTGCAGCACCAGGCACTGCCCTCAGATGCATCTAAGTACCTCAAGGCATGAGGTAGTCTCTCTGGCTATGAAGGCACTGCTCTAACATGTTGCAGCACAACCCTCAGACATACGTTTCAAGCATTTTGAACTAGAAAACCAGAAAACTAGTGACAGTAAAAATGTCTTGGACCCTGCCATGGGACACCCAGGACAAGTACTAAATGTATGGGCCTCACAATCTTTGCTACCTGGCCACAGGACCAGAAGACAGTTCTTGGTCCCAAATGTTTTAATAGTACAAGGGTAGATATCAATGCCTGATCACACATCTTAGGTGTAGCCAGAGTACTAAAGGACAGTGTTATCTAACGCGGTTTCCTTAGCTATTGCTTCTCTTCCAAGCTGTCTGTATGAATGACCTGCAGAAGCAAGGATTTTCACCTAATTTTAGGCCCATATTTATGCTTTGATATGCAGATAACATCAGGTCTAACATCACATTTTCCATGCAGAAAACTCCCAAAGGGACTGAGTAGCTGCATAACAAAATGATGACTTCACATCTTACTGGAATTAAACGAAGCTGACAGTTAAGTATTGGTCATCTGCAGCAAAACATGGCAATTTCATTTAGAACAAGAATTATGAATGTCCTTAGTGATGTGGAAAAATAAGAATATTGGGTTGCTTGAATCGAAGTTAGCCAGTGGGATGATAACATCACTCTTGCAGTCAGTACCCAGCAACTATTAAGGGACAGTTTTGTGCCTCATTGGAAAGATGTCAAATTCCCCAGCCTAACAGAGAATGGGTCCCACAGCTGACATAAAAGGAATGAATGGGTACATCACTTGAAATACAAAAAGAAGTATCAGGGACCCGTAGCTACAACTTCATGGTCTCTGTCTATTTTACTATTGCTCCAGCTTAGTTAACAGTGATGGTGAATGATGGTTCATTGAAACAATGAGAAAGATGCAAGCCAAAGGAACCTGAAGAACAGGATATGTGCTCAGGTACCTACCAAAATGTGGAAGCTAACAGGACTCTTGCAAGTTCAAAAGCACACAGAAAAATTACATTGCATTCCAGTGAACGCAGCTTGGTGCTCAGAATTTTTTTCTTCCATTTGCAGCACTGTGAATCATAGATTTTTATTCTTTTTTTTTCTGAGTCACACTTTTTGCTTTTTCCCTATCTCTGGGAAAAAAAAAAAAAAAGGATTACAGTATCTCCACTGAAACACTGCACAACATACATTGTCATGTATAAGGCTCTGTGGATTCTCTCAGAGTGACTATTTCCATTCAAATGACAAGATCATTCCTTTCCCAGGCTTTCCCATGGTACAGTAGTTCCTGTCTAAAATGCTCTCTGTGTACAAAAATATTCTTTCTCCATTGTTAGAACTATAAGGTAATTCGTTTTAAAATCCTTAGGTTCAGCAACCTGTGGACTTCTGCTGACCCATCCATGTATAAAGTACCAGAGCCACTATGATTTTTAGGCACAACAGAATCTAACCATGGCACTGGAGCTGTAGGACACCCCTCCTTTCACTGGTTTATATTATTTGGGAGCACTGGTTTTTTATTGCTCCTAGTGCATTTCTTGATTACATATACTTGGGGCACTTTATGCTTCCCCCAGGTACTTCATCCTGTTAAATATTTGCAAAAGGATGAAATGTCATTTCGGCAGGTGCTAGAGTCATGAGCAGTGAGCAGCCCAACAAACAAGCTACAGCATGAGAACCATTGGTCACCTTCACATTTCTGGTTTAGTTTTTTGAACTCTACATTCAGAACAGTATTTCAGAATGCACTATGCCAATAAACACCCCTGGTGTCATTGAACAGGTGGACAGAATTTAGAAACACTCCATGGTGAGACCTCAACATCCAACAGGAACAAAAATACTTCAGAATTTCCAGCCACACTTCTCTAAGTTGATAAAAACTCCCGCTGGAACTATTTGGAATTTCTGCTTATACAAAACATTGACTGGCTGCTTGCAAGAGAGGATAGATGATCATTTGCTCTCAAAAGAATGACTTCTTGTGATCAGTTTTGTAGGGTTTAGGTGCACGAGTTCTAGGACCGAGCTGCCAAAATCCTGCCCTCCCATGCCAAACCACATAAATCATTCTGCTCCCTTTACTTGCACTAGCACTGGTGCTCACACAAGCAGTCAGTGAGGCTCTGCAGGGTGTCAAACCAGGCAGAAAGGGGCGAGCAGAGAGCAGAAGCAGTTTCCTGTGGGTTTAGTTCCCTGTGCTGGGCCACCAGACACACTGCCAGATCCCAGCTCTGGCGCAGGAGATGGAGAGACACTGAGCTGAGACTACATCTTCCTGCCTGGATCTAGGGCACCCACTGTCTATGCAGGGCACAAGAGAGAGGCAGCTCAGACATTGCCTTTTGAGGCAACCACCACTGAGCCTGACACAAAAAATACCATCTTGACAACAATAGGTGCCAGAATTCATGGCAAGAAAAGTACCTAAACTAGAACTTTTCAAGCCCAACTTTGAGCTTCTTTTTGAAAACCATAGCAATTTTTACATCTCCATTTTAATGCTAACACTACACATCTCTGCTAGCTCTCTTCCCTTCTATGAACACTAAAAATTACTAGATTTACTGAAAAGATACAATATGCTGTGACTCTATGACAAGCATCTTGTCAATTCTCCCCCTACTGACGTCCCTGAATGAAAGATCCCTGCATTAAAAAAGTGCTCATTTTAAAGATGCTACTTCCTGTCAGACCACATGGTGCACGTCTTTACCCTTCTGTTATTCTGCAGAGATTCTTTAGCAGAGAACTGAACATGTTTCCTCTGGAGACCTGGGGTCAGAGTTCTGCTCTGTTGAGTCTTTCTGAGCAGCTTTACATCACCTGGGACGGGTCCACACTGTCCCTCAGTCATACTCCCCAAACCCGGCAGACGCAGACACCTTGCGTCCCAAAGGTACATGGCTCTGTCAGCACAGCACTGAGCCTGTAAGTACTCCCTGGTTAGCAGGACTGTGCAGGGAGACTCACGATTTTTGGCTCAGGCCGATGTGCATCCAGGCACCTGAGAAGAGACATCAGGCTGCCCCAGTGCCAGTGCTGCACCTGTAAAGCAAGGGCTGTGTCCTGCAGTGCAGGTGCAGGGAGGGAGGGAGGGAGGACAAACTGTAAGACCACAAAGGGTAGACGTACCATGGAAAAAAAGGGGTGTCAATGCCTACAAGGCTGCCAGGTCCAGTTTGGACAACCTGGGCCACATTCCCCTCCTTGCCACTGCTCCCCTGGGAGCCAGGCTGGCAGAGGACCCTCTCATTCATTCCTCTACGTTCGTTTTGAAGTCCTTGCCTTCATGGTGAACGCTTGCTGGTTCCTGCCCCAAGGAGTGAGCACAGAAACCTCACCCTGATGCTTTCCTCAATGTTTTCATTCGTATTTCTTTGGCAAGACAGGAGGAATCTGCTCAGGGACACAGACAGTGTCTAAACCAATCTTCCTGCTGCGCCTGTAATCCTGCACCCCCACTGTAATAGGTGTGTATTTGACAAGCGCATGAGTGAAAAGTAAATAACACATTTCAGAGGCAAAGTAACTTCAGGCTGGCAAGCCCCTGGCACTGCGCTACAGCTGACCCAGACGCCTCGCACATGCCTAGTGCGGAAGAAGCTGCTCTTCACATTTCTCTGTCTGCTGCTACCCTCGCCCAGCCCCAGCCTGGCCCCTGCTCATGCCCTCACCCCAGAGCTGATGATGCTGAGGGAAGGGGGGGAGTTGAGCCGTGCAAAGCCCCTTCACAGCTGAGCCCCATTTCCAAGCCCCAGGAACACCCGCAGCAGGCACCCAGCCCTGGAGAAAGGGCCGGGTGCGCTGGGAGCGCTCGGTCAACATCACCCCCATTCGCCTTTCAGTGGGCTCGCACCAGGCTACAGCCCAACCCGACCCCCGGCGCTGGGGTCGAACGCACCTACCCGGGCACGCCTGGCCGTGGTCTTGGCAGCAGTCTCCGGCTCGCCGGCATCCTCCGTCGCAGTAGCAGGTCCCGTACCCCCCTCCCTCCCTCCATCCCTCGCCGACACAGGCGGCGTCCCGACCCTCGCAGCACCTTCCCGAGCAGCTGCCCCCTACCCCGCTGCCTGCCCACAGCAGCCCAAGCCACAGCGCTCCCGACAGCGCCGCGCCGCCCATCACCGTGCTGCCCCGACGGGAGGATCCTGACACCGCTGCGCGCTCCGGCAGCCGCAGGCACCCGACGGAGCGGTGCGGGATGGGCGGGCAGGGAGCGGAGGAAGTGGGGGGGGCGGTGCGGCCCCGCTGGGCCCTGCCCGGCAGCTCCCGCTCCTGGCCCCGGGCGGCTCCGGGCAGCAGCGAAGTTTTGGGGTGTAGCGAGCGGGAGATGCGGAGGGTGCGTGTCCTCGGGGGTGTCCGGCCAGGATCCCTGTGGCAGTGACACACCCGGTGATGACCCATACAGCGATGTGCTTGCTGCACAGGGATGTCCTGCACAGCAGTGACCCACGCAGCACATCGCACGCAGCCATGTCCTGAACAGCGATGGCCCTTGTGGTGATGTCCTATACAGATATATCCTGCACTGCCGTTTCCCATACTGCCGTGTCCCACACCACCATGCAAGGATGCCTCACATAGCAATGACCCACCCAGCCATGTCCCACCCAGCTATAGCCCACAGTAGTGTTCCACACTGCAGGGACCCACATGGTGGTGACCTGCAATATCCCCTCAGCAGTGTCTCCCACAGTGATGTCCCTCACCTTAATGTCTCCCATGGTGATGATCCTCACAGCAATGTCCCACACAGTGGTGAGCCACAGAGCAATGTCCTGCATGGCATTGTCACACATCCATGCCCTGCACAGCAGTGGCCTTCACAGGACTGATTATGGCCACATCCCACCCAGTGGTGCCCTACACAAGTGACACGCAGAACTGTGACCTATGCAGCCATATTCTGTTAGCAGTGACCTACACAGCTGTCTCAGAGCACCCCCATCCACCTCCACACAGCCCAGCGCATGGGGATGGCCTGGGGCCACCGGACATGGTTTATTGGTACAGGCTCTTTCTCATTTCAGGCCACATCCCACACAGCCAAGAGCATTTGCTCGTGTTATGTTTTTCCTTTTCTTCCTATTTTTTGTTAAGATGTGTTTCCAGAACAAACAAAAGAAGCTGTAGTTGCAGGTGCACAAGGAAAGTGGGATGGATCCTAAACGCAAAGATTTGGATTCTAGTTTTCAGTTATCTTCAGTCCTAAGAGGTTTTCAGGATTAATGGGATATGATCGGTTTAGCCAAAGAAATCAAATCCTAAAAGTACATAGTGAGGTGACTGCAAAAATATGTCGCTTTTGCACACTTCAGTTTGCAGATAGTTAGCTACTAAGGCAAGAGCCATCTGGTCTCCCAGAGCTGCCTACAGATGGGAGGTAACAGCCTGTTATATTACCTGCTACATGCGGGTGCTTGGACCCCCCGAGACAGCTCAGGCCAGCCAGAGTTTAATTTCTCCGAGCCATCACAGCACTGCTGTTAAAGTGCTGTTTAAATCCCGATGGGTTGGGCCTGCACTGTTATCCAGTGTGCTACTAATGAACTCACTGGCTTGTCGCCAGCCTAAAACTTGAACCCGTGAACAATGACTGTTGGGGGAGTTCCTGCGGTGGGTAAGAGCAGAACAAGGCTTGCAGCCTGCCTCGGTAAGAGGCGATGTGAGAGCAGGAATGCTTCCTTATGTTTTCCTTTGCTTTGCTGGATTCCTTTGGATCACCTGAAATGCAAAATATTACCAAATCAATGTAGAAACTACCTTTGTAAGTAGATAAATTGTGTGCGGAGAACTTATGCTGAAGGATAAATCAGTAAAACTTGCACCAGTTTGGAACAGAATAAAGAATGTCTTTCTCTTAGTGGGTATGTTTACAGAAAACCAAGAAACTATGTCTGCAACGGTCTAGTAAAAAAAACCCAGAATGCAAATGGAAAAATGTTCAGGTTTCTACTAGATGCAGTCAAACAGATTCCTCAGAGCAACCAGAAAAAAAAAGACTCTTCATTAAAATAGAGAACAAGCTCACCCAGTTTGTTCCAGCAAATACTTTGGTTTTTCCCTTTCAGTGTAGATCCTTGCTATTAGGAGTAGCCCTAGGTAACTCATGAGTAAGGACAAAGAAACACAATGATGTGTTCTCGGGCACTGAAACCCTTACAGGCAACTACAGACAAATAGGCAGAGATTTCTTCCTAATTTTACATGAGATGGTCCACAGAAAGTAGGTGCTGCTCATGCCTTGCTATTGGTTATCTTTTTGTCATGCAGATGTCTTTATGAGGGAAAGCAGTTTTGGGCAAGGCTGATACAAAAGGCCTTACATGTGTAGGTAAGTTTAGGGAATGGGCAGAGCACTTGCTGCATCTTCCTCGTAATCCATGGAGGAGCATTACATGAGAAAGAGTCATCTGTTTCACATGTGCCCTCTATGCCAAAATACTGCTTAATCCCAGAGGTAAGGGGAAATCTCAGGATTATTGCAGTCTTCTCAAAAGCAGGTGTTACTTCTGGCTCTCAGATTTTGAAACCCGGGGTCTAGCTCCAGTTGCCGGACATTTTTGTACTTTTCTGACATTTCTGCCCTATTTTAGCTTTGAGTACTCAAAACTCCAATTCCCAAGCTCAAATATAACTGCAGTATTATATGTTAAGAAAGGAGAAGGAAAACAAGACTGTAAAATATGTTTTTCAACTAATTTCTCCAACACATAAATGGTTTCACTGAGTCTTGTTCCATTGTTTCCCTGTTTCCAACCAAAGTGTTCTCAATGCCTTACATGGAGTTCTCCTTGGTTTGCAGTACCACAAAGACAAAACTAAGCCAGATGAGCTCCAACAGTAAACTAGAAAGAGAACTACTTTCTGTTATTTACCATGCTTACCAACTCTATTATCTACCATGGTTATTTATGCTCTCTCTCTATAAAGCATGTACAGCAGAGCCAAGCTCTTGCTCTGTCCATTCCTATGGTGCACATCTACCCATAATATTAAGCAGATGACTGAAAATACCTGCAACTGGGAAAAGTTTCAGCCTGGGAACAAAATACGCATTTGATAACAAAATACCTCTCTTATTTTTCAAGTTTAACTTACAGCCACAGTGACTTTGAGAACCTGATATAAGGACTATTCGGCTCAACTTCAAAGTCCTTTTCAAATACATTATCTGTCAGCCCGCAGCATTCCATATGCCCACACCTCCTCATGAGCAAACTCTCTGGAAGGTTCTAACTTGCACAAATAGATCTCATTTTTCTTTGCTTCTGGGAGGTTAATCTGATGGCAACAAAATGCCAAGACTTCAAAGATCCTGCGGGGCATTTCTTTTTCTTTTAGACCCATGTTTGCATACAGCTCTATTTATTTTACAGAAATACCTTCCAAAAAGCAACGTGCTCACATTTTGTATTGAGACAACACGGTGACTGATCTGACTACAAAGGCTACAGGCTGCCTCCATCCTGCCATGCGGGATCATGCTTCCTGAGAGCACCACAGTCAGCTACAACTTGAGTTTGACATAAGAGGCCCTTGTTCTGAAAAAGTAGACTTTCTCCTGATAAGATATAATCCCTACTAAGGGGAGTAACTGAATCATGGTGTTTGCTAGTGTAGCTGACAGCTTAAAGCAATAGCAACATTTTGTATGTAAGAAAAATGAGGAGTAATTTGTCTTCGGTAACAATCAGCCTGTATAAGACCACAGCAGATGATATATAAAAGAAGGTTTGCATAGTTTCATAGCCTGTGCTGTTACACAGAAAGCACAATGCTGTTTCAGTGACGAGTTTGAGCTGCTCTACCTTGAATCGCTCCTGAAAGAGCATGTTGAGGATCTGTCTATATTTAAATACCTGGCACTTTCACTGTGCACACTTCCACTCACTTTGCCCGGGCAGTCCTGTTGGGTGCAGCCTTGCCATGGGAGACACATTGGCTTGCTGTGTCTCAATTACAGCCACTGATTTTGGTTGGGGTTGGTAATGATGCATGAAGTTGCTTGAATTCTAGAGGTTAGTGGTAGTATAGCAGATCTATGTTTCAGGTTATTTGTAGATGATTTTTAAAGGCCTTCATATATAAGTTACTGAAGTATATATAAAGGCCTTCATATGTAAGTCACTATAAGTTACTGAAGAAATGTCCTACTACTGAGGTGAACACAGCGCTGCTGTTGAGCTTCCATGCAGAACAAGGCAAATCTGTATGACCAACCTAAGTGAATCAGGGCTGTAAAACTTCATTTTCCTATTATTTATTCCCCAAGTTCCTCTTTTTACAGGTTCAGGGTTTCTGAACTGAAATGAAGCACCCGACTCAGCACGTGGAAAGGGAGAGTGGGCAGAGCAGGACTGCCTCCACCAGCAGTAATTAATGATGAGACTGGGTCAGCTGGTGCACATGGTACAACATTCCCCTTACTCTAGCAGGATACAGCTACATCTTCTGTCTGTCTAAACAGCCTATGGCTTATGGCATAATAGTGTTGCAGTTTCTCATGTTAGATCTTACTTTATTTTAATTATAAATGCTATTATAATCTAAAAGTGTCATCTTTATGTCATTCCAATTGTCATTTGTCTTAATGATGTTGAGAACAATATTCCCCAAGGATCACCCACAGGGGAGCATGCTGAGTACTTGGCTGTGTTTGAAGAAGAGCATTTGTAACATAACCACTGATGCATAAAGTTTTCTATATCCTGGTCCTGGAAAGTCAGTTTATTATTCAGACAGCCTGTCTGTAAGGTAGCTTCCCTTCAAGGCTTGCTGGGTAGCTTTCCTTTTTAGTTGCACATGATCAGCCAGAGTAAGAGAAGGTGGCAGTTTAACATAAACTTTCCAGAACAGATGTGCTTCTTACAAAATAAGCATCCCAGGATATTGTTCCAAATACTTCCCTATTTCTCCTGCATTTGGGTTATTTTCTTTGGTAGTGAGACATCCTCTCTTTTCTGTAATCATAACTAAATCAATTACGTCCCTTCCTTATGGGGGCATCATTATTACCATTTTCAATATAGGAGAAAATGACACTGAGAGATTAGGGCCCCCATCCAGCAAAACACTTAAGCACTTGCATAACCTGAGGCACATAATAACCCCACTGTAGGACTGTTCACCCGTTCCAAGTTATGCAATCATGGAAGCTTTACTGAACCGGGACCTCCTGGTGTGCCCAAGGGCTCC